GCACTATAAAAAGGGGTGTTTGGGTCTGCTTTTCTCACCAATTCACTTCACAACATCTATACTTTCATTGCATTCAAATATCATAATTTTCCATAGCTTTCTAGAGCCACTTGTGTGAAGGTTGAGTTGTTCTTGAGCGTACTTAGTTTACTCATAATCTACTCTATAAGAGAGTCTCGTTCTTGAGTGTACTTGTGTTCTTAGACACGTTGAGAGATAGTATCACTCTCGGTTGATTCAAAGGAAGGTCTGTTTCCTTTGAAGGATTCGTTGAGGTTCGTGTGACTCGAACTCTCAAGTTGTAACGGTTTGTTAAGCACCCGTATGCTTAACGAGTTAGTAGTGTAGCTCGAGAGACTCTCTCGGGAGGCTGGATTAGCCACAAGTTGTGGTGAACCAGGGTAAAATTCGGTGTGCCTCTTACTCTTCTCTTTACTTCTCTTTTAAATTTTTAATTCCTGCGATTTCTCCGATCAAACGCTATTCACCCCCCCTCTAGCGTTGGTCTTTTATTCTAACACCATGGCGGTCCGGCGACCATGTGGTCCGCCATGGCCTTTTAGATCTCCGGAAATCTATCACTGGATTCAATGGCGAGTCAAGACGATGCTTTTTCAATGGCGATTCAAGAAGCTCCTTCATCCCTAGACAGCGGCCTCCTCCAAATACCCTTGGAAGGGACAAATTTAGAATCTTTACCAATGACAGGATCCACCACAGGCAGGGTCTCGACCTCAGGAGTCGGAGGAGATGGCCTTTTAGATCCACTGATTCGAAAGGTCTGGAGGAGTCATATGTTCTCAGCAGCACTCGTCTGGCCAGACAAGATGAGAAAGAGCCAGCCTTAGCCTCACAACCTACCCGAAACTCTACTTTCACCTTTAGAACCCAAAATAAGGTATTTCAGCTCTTCCACTCTCATTATAACAAAACTTTCTGCATAACCGAGTGTGGTTACAAGAGATATCACCTATGGTTCGATTTGGATACTATAAGATGGGTTATCGAATCAATTCCAAGGGTTTCTGGTTTTAGATCCTGGGCTCTCTTTCTATTTGGTGATAACCGCACCATTGAGCTTTCTGCTGGTTCAAATAGAAGAGGTGAATTCATAAGAATTCAAGAAAAAAGAAGGGAAGGGAAAAGATACATCCTAATCCCATCTGGGCCTAAGAACGCAGATGTAGGTTTGTTTATCAAGGCTTTATCTTTCTTCTATGACAAGGTCACCAAGACTGTACAATCTCAGGCCCTGGATACTGTTCCGGTTCTCACCACAGTCCCTCAAGCTCCTATACAACCCCAGAATCTGGCGCTAGCAACAAACACTCAGCACCTTGAGGGAAGAGTAGCACATATTGGGGAGAATGAGGATGATATGATGGTCGAAGAGGATAACTGTCTAATTGTAGCAACCACTTCCCCTATGAGTGAATATCGTCCTGCTGCCTTTCATGGAGGACCTGTCCCAACCCCAAGTCATGCCATCTTCCCCACTCTGTCTCCTTTTGCTCCACCCTTCGTACCTGTGCTGACAAACAACTTTGCCACACTTTTCTCTCACAATGCAGTTGAGAACAAAAGATGTGATGATCAGGACCCATCCTCAAAGACTCATGATAAGAACCGGGTACTCCTTTTGAATGCAGTGGAGGACATTATAGAGGATAGGGACGGGCCTATACTCTATACCCACTCAGACGGAGAAGATATAGTTTTCATTGACACCAAACTTAAGCCTCTATAGATGGACTTTTCTAGATGTCTCAGACAGCCTTTAAACCTGCGCAAGGAACTTAAGGGCAGGAGAACTTTCTCCCCTTCACAAATTGTTACTAGGAGCAAAGCTAAAATTCTTGAAGAAGGTAGGAAATTAACTCCTGTTGGATGGGTGGAGGAACAGGATTTGAATGAAACCCAGGAATCTTATGAAGAGGAAGTTATCAATTTCTTTAAGTTGTGCTGCCCAAACAAAAAAGAGGTGTGTACTAAGAAATCCAACAAAACTTTGACTAAAAGTCAAAAAAAGAAGGCCAAGAAAAGACTGAAGGATGATTTTGATGCCTAGATTTTGCTAATTTCAGGGATGGGTTCAGTACTCATTGGGATACACCACTCAACCTTAATTTTCTAAGCATGGATTAGCTAATTGAATTGGCAGCAGATTATGAAGAGGGGTACAGTACTAAGTCAAAAGAGGAGAAAACTCTTTTCTCAGAGGGAGTTTCTTTTCATTTCTTAGCTCCTTTGGCTAACAATTCTTTCACAATAGTTACATCCAGTCTCGTTCATGGTTTAACAAGTCTTTTTTTAAAAAAAATGAGTAGTTGGGCTTAGCTTTTGTTATAGTTCTACAATGGCTTTTGCTTTCTGGATTGCACTGTCTTAAGTCTCTTTTGTTTCTTGTTGCTTTAGCTTTTTGGTCTTCTCTTGATTGAACAGTTTTGCTGCCTTACTATTGGGGATCTCCTATATCAACTTTGGTTTGGCTTAGGGACACTTTATTTCTTTATTTGATGGGTTGGTTCGGTCGGGAGTAAATGCAATTGGGTGCGGCTATGTCCTCTCAACTAGCTGGAAGACTAGGCAGAAAAACAATTTTGAGAATCAATGGGGGTTTGTTTGATTTGGAGTTGAGCTCGTCCGTCTTAGGACCTCTTGGTTACACACTTGGCATGTGGAAATACCAGAGAGAGTTTTTCTGCACCAAGTTGGGGTTACCTTTCACATGGACTCGCTGATATTCCAGCAAGACCAAGACAGAGAATTGGCCGGGCAACTTTTGTAGTTTTTGATGTTTTGGATTTATTTTCTAGTTGTTTTCCCTTATGGCGTACTATTGGGCTTTTTTCATTTGGCTGTATTGTTGGGGTTTTTGGCCACCCTCACATTTGTACTTCTTTTTTTCAATAAATTTTCTTTCCTTAAAATATATATATATATATATATATATATGTATGTATATATATATATATGTGTGTGTGTGTGTGTGTGTGTATATATATATATATATATAGGGATTGACTCCGGTTAGATGACGAGTTTCGGTAAGATGACGGTTCCGATCAGATGACACGCACGCTCCTTACTTCTGTTTCATTTCCCGTTTCCTTCCCCGTTTTCTTTCACGTTTCCATCTTCTTCCCCAATTTCATTCTGTTCCCGTTTCCATCTTCTTCCCCAATTGTAGCCGATGCATTCCATCTTCTTCCCCAATTGTCGCCGATGCCTCTTCTCCATTTTTCATCCTCTCTTCTCTAATTTCATTTTTTTTTCTCAAATTCGAATCTGAAATCCCTAGCCGCCTCTTTAATTAATCTTCCTAATCACTTTCAAATTCATCGGCTTCTTCACGCGAATTTTATCTGACCTCTGCGTTTGATTCCCAGATATGGAAGACATCATATTCAACTTGTCATTGGATTAGTCAAGGGTATTCCTTCTTCTTCATCTGTTGGACAGCATACTACTTACCAGGTAATTCGTTCTACTCTGTTTTTTTATGCCTTTTTAGGATAAGTTTTTTTGGAGAATTTATCAAAAAGAGCTCTTTTCTTTGTGATGAAAGTAATGGAGAAAGGTATGAAAAAAGTTGTGCCTAGATGGTTTCTAAATGGGTGAGTACTAAGATTTATTTTTGGTTGCTATCTTGTATATTCATCCTTAATATAAAAACAAGAATGTGGAAACTCAGTAATGTTTTGTGAGTTTTATCAAAATGTTTGGCGAGTTTTATGAAAATGGATACATTCTGTACAGGCTTTCAATGGACCTTATTAAAATTGCAAAAATTGAACTATCAAAAATGCAGAGTAATCACCATCGCACTAGTTGATGTGATGCAAAACCAGTGGTGGGAGGGAGGGTAGGCAGTGATCAAGTGTCTAATTTAAGAGCACAATAAATCCCAACTGAGTGTCTAACTGATCCAAGAACAACTACTGAAGTCACAAGTTTAACACATATCAGGACACAATTAACATTCTATTATGTTACACACTTACACGTCACCATAGTGAGCATTCAAACATGAACATATGCAACCTAATGTGCCTCATTCTGTCACAGCAGAAGCATGTTGTCTTATGACCTTCAGCTTCTTTTATTTGCCTCAAGATGTCTGCTCTTTTTGGCTCTAAACGTTCCATTTTTGCATTGATTTTCTCCAGATAGATAAATAAAAATGCAAAAGAAATTGAACACGGTTTATGTTAACTTTTTCCTCGTGATAAGAAATTACAGTTTATGTTTATTTTCTCCCTCTTTGACATATTCTATAGGTTGCTTTTATCTTATGCAAATGGAAAGCTATTCAATTGATTCTAGTTTTCTACAAACGCCATCATTTGCTTCTATAACTTTGGGGAATTGGGTTCCTAATGTACCAGACAACTTAAAGATTAAAATAGGTCAAGTTTTTTTGAGTTTTGTAGAATGCCAAGCGTTCTACAATCAGTATGCCCGGGAATCAGGGTTTAGCATACGTTGTGGTTCATCTTCAAAAAGTAGAAATGGGGATAAAACTTGGAAAACATATGTGTGTTCAAAAGAAGGCTTTAGGAAACAACCTAAAACTGGCCTTGAAGTTATAACCCATCCTCAAGAGCAGGATCCCCTTTCTGGGCAGTATCCCCTATCTGAAGAATCAATAAACTCAAAACAACCAAAAAGAAAGAAAAGAGCTGAAACTCGAGAAGGTTGTCGTGCTCGTATTTTAGTTGTGTCATGTGAGGAGGGTTGTAAGATTGTTCAGTTCGAAGAGTCCCATGTCCATCCCATGGTTACTCCGAGCAGAAGACATTTCCTATCTTCATCAAGGGAAGTTTCTACATCGCACAAGCACATGTTGTGTAGTGCTAGTAGAGTCAATGTAGGTCCCTCTAAGGTTTTTGATGTTACGGCTGAGGTGATGATGGGTCATCAAAATGTGGGTTGTACGAAAAAGGATTGTTTGAACTATCAAAGAAGCTTGAAGGCCATCATTAAAGACAATGATGCCCATATGTTTATTGACACGTTAAAGAGGAGAAAAGAGACAGAGCCAGGGTTTTACTTCGCATATGAAGTGGATGAAGAGAGTCGCTTGAAGAGAGTGTTTTGGGCTGATTCATTAAGTCGTTTAAATTACTCTTCATTTGGAGATATACTCTCATTTGACACAACACATGGCACGAATAAGTATGATCTTACTTTCTGCCCATTTACTGGTGTGGATAACCACCGTAAGCTAATTTGTTTTGGGGCAGCGTTAGTTTGTAATCAGAAAGGAGACTCCTTTATTTGGCTTTTTTCAAAATTCTTAGAGTCAATGGGAGGGAAGCAACCAATAAGTATAATTACTGATCAGGACCATTCTATTAGGTTAGCCCTTTCTGAAGTGTTTNCAGAGAGTCCTGAAGAATTTGAAGAGGAATGGCTACGCATAATGACTGATTTTGATTTGTTGTGTAATGATTGGTTCACGCATATCTTTTCAATAAAGGAGCAATGGGCCCAGGTATATTTTGATGCCACATACTTAGGTGCTGTTGTAAGAACAACGTCGGGTTCAGAAAGCCAAAACCAAACGTTCAGTTGTTTGACAAACCAACTAATAAGTTTGGTAGAATTTTGGGTGCGGTTTCAGCATGCCATTGATACTCAGCGTGACAATGAGTACAAACAACAGAATGCATCATTAACTTCAAATCCCGTTCTAAGAACAGAATTACCCTTGGAGTGCCATGCACGGGAGGTTTACACACACACCAATTTTTTATTTGTTTCAAGAAGAATTTTGGAATGGCTTATGCTACTGTGGTATCCAATGGATGGAATCTGTTGACGGACAAACAATGACAACCGTAAGAGATAATCGTGGTGCAAAAGGGAAGCTGTACAATGTCCGCTATAGTGATCTGACTGAAGAAGCTGCCACATGCTCCTGCCATTTTTTTGTGTCACAAGGAATCCCTTGTAGGCATATTCTATCAGTTTTGAATGGGCAAGGGTTTAGAGAGCTGCCAAAGGTTTATATTTTCGATAGATGGACAAAATATGCAAAGAAAAGAGCTGTTGTTGAAGGCACAGTGCATTTTGATGAAACATTTAACACAACGAAGCTAGAGAATCAAACTTTATCTAATATCTGGTGCAAGTTTTACAACTGCATGCTTCTGGCAGGGCGAGATTATGAGAAATTGAAAGTGATTTTAGAGAGTACAACTTCCCTTGAGCATCAACTCACTGATATGGGGCCAACAGTTGGAAATGATAAAAGGAAAGACTTAGAAACTTATTTTGGATGCAAAGTGCCTGATAGAGTTGAAATCCATCCTCCTACGATTGGAGTCACGAAGGGAAGGAAAAAGAGTATTAAGAGTGGTGTGGAGAAGGGTCAAGAAAAACAAAAGCACACTCGACGTTGTCGTTCATGCAACAAAATGACTACGCATGATAGCCGTAATTGTCCATTGAAAAACAACAGGTTACTTTTAAATGTTTCATTTTAGTTGTTTCATTTAACTTAAATTTAGATTTTAATAATCCTTCTTTTATAGAAAAAGCAGCAGTGATGAAGAGTAACCAAGCGCTCAAAATCTTTACAATTGGACTGCTAGGTTTTCTTGAATCACCATTACAAACAGCCAAGTTCAAGCCGTGCAGTGAGCTCCGGTAAACTGCAATCCTGTCAAATCCTTCTTCTTCTTATTCTTCTTTTTTTGTTTAATTCTGTGTTCTGAAGAATTCATATCTGGGTGTCAAGATTTCTTTCTTTCTTTGATCTACTGTCAATTTCTTTGTAAAAAAAAAGATTGGGTTAGTGGGTTTTTGAACAAACACGACTCAATTTGATCCAGAAATAGTTTAGCACAGTGATAATTCTTTGGATTCCCATGTTTCTAAGATGCATCTTCTTCATCAATTTGAGTCCAGTCCAATTCATAGCAATCCTGAGTCGTTGAAATGATAACAGAGTCTTATTGATCTTGCTGACTCAGAGGTCCTAAAGCTCAGCTTTCAGTTGAGTTTGGTTCTTTGGTTGTAAATTTATGATTGGGTAGGAGTTTCTCAGTTAGTTAAGCTCATGAAGGGCATGTTCATCGTCTGTAATTTTCCGATGTGGCAATCTAACACACCAAAACCATCTCCATCTCTTTCATCTGGTTCTAGAATCAGCCCGACACTTCTTCTGATTAGTTTTTGTACACTTATGTTGCTTATTATTTGGATTATTAATGTTGTTGCTTTGGTCATGTGAGAGGCTGATTTGCTTTGCTCTTTTTACAGTGACTATCACCTGTTAACTTGGAAGCAAAACAACAATAGGGAGGTCTAGCAGCTACTGTTTAGAGATTAGCAGAAGCCGAAGTTGGAATTTGAGCTCTGTATATGCCTACTGTTCCGTCTTAGTGTCTTTTTTATTGTGGACTATGGAAAAAAAATGGGGAGTTGAATGCTTTGAGAAGTTTTATTTTTTGGTTGAAAGAGTAGTTTTAGAAATTTTAAGACTTTAAGCCAGAGTTTTTTTTTGGTTCAAATGGAAATGATACTTGATGTGTATCATATTAGCACTTTCTTCTATGTTCTATGACTAATATTTATAAACTCCATGTCAATTTGCTTCTTTTGATTTGGATTTCTGTTCAACTTCTTTAAATTGAGAGTGTTGTTTTCAAAGTTGGTAACCATGCTGTTAAAATATTACTTCTATAAGGTGATCAAATATTACTAGGGAAGGACACTTATTCTAACATTGCAAAATTCATACAACACTAGGTCCAATTCGGGGCCATCTTTTTTTCGTCAATGCTTTTAAACGATGACTATATTTTTTCCCATTTTGACTTTTGGAGCAAACATTTTAAACGTTGAGAATAAATTACGGAAAAAATATACTACCTCCGTCCCAGAGTATTTGTCCACTTTCATTTTTACACACCATCCAATACACTTCTTTAATCCATTTTATCTTGTAATTTGTATATTAGAAAATTATAGAAATTATATATTAATAATCTATATGTTAAGACAAATCAAACAAGATCACACATGACTATATTTAGGCTTACACATTGAGAGAATTTGATGAGTCAAAGTGCTTAGATAAACAGTTCCAAAAGTCAAAAGTGGACGAATATACCGAGATGAAGGGAGTATTAGATTGTGATAAAAATTTAAGAGTAAAAAGAATTGACATCGTGCACTTCTCATCCATTTCCTTCTGCAAATGCGCCACAAAATTGCCTTCTTGTTAATAACCCAATACATGGGTATAAAAAATTGATGAGCTTTCTCAATATGTTCGGTGAGCTTTCTAGTTATGTTTGGTGAGCTTTCTTAATATATTTGGTGAGCTTTCTCAATATATGTGGTGAGCTTTGTAGTAATGTTTGGTGAGCTTTCTAGTAATGTTTGGTGAGCTTTCTCAATATATGTGGTGAGCTTTCTAGTAATGTTTGGTGAGCTTTCTAGTTATGTTTAGTGAGCTTTCTAGTAATGTATGGTGAGCTTTCTAAATATATGTGGTGAGCTTTCTAGTAATGTTTGGTGAGCTTTCTCAATATATGTGGTGAGCTTTCTAGTAATGTTTGGTGAGCTTTCTAGTTATGTTCGGTGAGCTTTCAAGTAATGTTTGGTGAACTTTCTAAATATATGTTGTGAGCTTTCTCAATATTTTTGGTGAGCTTTGTAGTTAAGTTTGGTGAGCTTT